TGGCCGCGACGGCTCGGGCTGCGGCAAAGGACAGGAGGGCAGACCAGCGAGACACATATGCTGCCGTGGCGCCGGCACGGAGCAGGGGTGGGGCGAACAGGCAAGTGCACCGGACAGTTGACACAAAAACAGGCGCGACCAAAGTTTGGAAAACGACCTGCCCATCCGCGCCGACAATTTCTCCAAAATCTGGATACGTTAGACCAAGAAGGCAGAGCTGAAAGGAAATCCACAGCAGCCCGTGGCAGTCGCAAAGGGGTTGAGGCGCATCACGCCATGCACATAGAGTTCGTTCTCCAATGACGCTGCGGCGGGCCCGACCCATGATGCAGGCTGGCGGACGCATTTGGCGACCATTTGCTCGCGTCCCTGACAAAACTCCTCGCCGCGCGCAAAAGGAGGTGCCGCAAGCAGTGGTTGGCCCACTGACACACCCATGTCTGTCCATCCAACACACGATGGCTGGACCTCATGATTTATGACGCCGCACCGCCGGCTCACTCCATCCCGTTGTTGCGACACCACCGCGTGTACCCTTGGGGGGCCGTCACAAGTCACGTGCGGCAGCGAGTCACGTGCGGCCGTGTGAGATGCAGTGCATCTCGGGGTCCTTGACTTAAAGGTCTGGAGCGAAGTTCGCGCGACATCGCCAGCCTCCGCGCAACGCCAACCCAGCCGCGGTGCAAACACACCATTGGAAGCAGGGCGCCAGCATGCGCCGCCATGCGCCAACGGACGCGAACAACAGTCTGTTTCCTGCTTTGCAGCACAGGTCTCGTGAAGGTGTTTGACTCGGGACATCCATGGCTGCCACAAAAATCAATAGCTTTCCTGCGCCGCTGTCACCAAAAACCTGCATGTTCCATGATGCACAATGGACACCACATTGTCACAAAGCGACCGTCTTATTGACTCAGTCCGGGCCCCATGACATTGCGATCACGCCATGAGATAGCCACATCGTGCACCAGGGAATGTAGAACGTAAGCGGGGCAAGTCCCGTCAAGTGAAATGAGAAAAACTGATCATCCCACACGTGTTCCCACATGCCATGGAGCATTTTCGGGAATGCAGGGCGGCTTAACAAAATTTGGGACGTCGAAGCGTCACTGAACGGATGTGTTCATCTGCAACAAAACAATCGCACGTATGGCCATAGTTCAAACCGATTTGGGACAACGTCCGGTCAACATGACCGGCCCATCGACAAAATGAAATCAACTTGGCATCCCGAGAAAAAATGCACGACCAGGGCGTCTTGAAGCCCAACAAAACAGCACATATGGCAAAAAAAAACAACATCCAGCATTTCATGGATAGTGGACCAAGGCTGAAAAAATTACAGCCGCCAGCCTCTCGGGCCGTCGCAACCAACCGGTTCTCCATCCCATTGGGCAATGCCGCCAACGTTGACGGGACAGCGCCTAACCTCAGCCACGTCCTCGCCGAGGACCAACTGCCACAAAAACAAGCGCGACAAAACTTTTGAAAACAAAATGAGGTGCAAGGCTTCGCCAACACCAGTCACCCCGTTGTTGGAGAACGACCTGCCCAACAACTTCTCCAAAACCTTGACGCGTTAGACCAAGGAGGCAGAGCTGAGAGGAAATCCACAGCAGCCCGTGGCAGTCGCAAAAGGGT